CCCCGCCCCCCTCCCTCGCCTGAGGATGCTCTCCCTCCGGACGCGTCTGGCCCAGCATGTCGGCAGCCGGCTTTCCAGCCCGGCGGCCTCGGCTCTCTTCCACTCGTCAAGCTCACCAGCCACAGCTGATGACAAGCCCAGCCCGCCTTCCGGGGTCCTTCCCCTGCGCAAGGCCCTGGCATCGGTGGCTCCGCGGAACATCCCAATGGCGGAGATGACCCTGCCCCGGGCCGCGGAACTGACCCAGGCCGAGTATCGCATTGGCATGCAGGGGCGCATCAATCGCCAGGCCCGGCGCAATCGGGCACTGCAGGCGGACGCACGCGCGGCCGCCGCCGCCGCCGCCGAGGGCAAGACCCCCCCGACCCCGAGCGCTGCCGAGTCCGATGACGCCCCCCGGACCAACGTCAAGGACCAGATTTTCAGTCGCATGTTCTCCCAGGACAAGCCGGCCCTGGACAAGCAGCTGAACCCGGACCTCGCGGCCCAGCTGGACCTCCAGCCGGAGGCGCTTTTCTCTCGGCTGTCTAGCATCGGCACTCGGCCCAGTCAGTCGGAGGCTGCCACCACCGCCACGGAGGCTGCCCCGGCCCCGAAGCCCAAGAAGCAGAGTGCCGCCGCGGCCACCGTGTCCGCCCTCGCGGCGGCCGCTGCGGCCTCTGGCCGAAGTGGCCAGGGCCGCCAGAAGGCTGGGTCTGCCGCACCGGACCCGGCGACACCCCCGCAATCGCCACAGCCCCAGCCCCCCTTCGCCGATCAGCAGGCGGACGCCACGCTGCACGTGGATCCCGAGGCCGACTACCAGCACCCCCGGCTGCGGGACTTCGGCCCGGGCAAGCGCCGACTTTCCAGCCTCATGCCCAATCTGCGGTACATCCCCATCAGCCGAGACCGCCTGCACCCGAAGCTGGCCGCCCCGAAATCCACCCCGATGACCACCATGAACAGCGTTGTGGTCGGCGGGACGAGCTTCCTCCCGCCCATGATGTCCGTGTCGGATGTGGTCAAGGTGTACGGTCTGCAAGCACGCGCGCAGCTGTCGCAGAACTTCATCTTCGACATGAATGTTTCCGGTACGAGTTCCCCATGGGGGGGGGGGGGGGGGCAAATGGGGGCCGGTTTGTTGGGCACTTCCTGTGGCGATGGCACTGACCGTGAGCCTTTTATTGCTGCTGGCAGAGAAAATCATCCGCTGTATCCCCGACATCGAGGGAGCCACCGTCATCGAGGTCGGGCCAGGTGCGTGCCAACATCCGGCTGACTTCGGGCGCGTCCCCTCCCACCAGCCCCGGGCGCCGACTAACCCGCTGAGCTGTGCGTGCATTTGCATGTGTGTATGTGTAAATGCCCCTGCGACTCTGTGTCCCCCCCCTTGCCGCCCCGCATACAGGCCCCGGCTCGCTTACGCGCTCTCTGCTGAACTCCACGGCCGAGCGGGTCATCGTTGTGGAGAAGGATCCGCGTTTCCTGCCGGCTCTCAAGGTGCGCCGTCTTGCGGCTTGTTTCGACTGTCCCCCCCTCCCCCCTCGAGATACACCCGCCTCACACAAGCACATGCAACACCTTCCCCGGCCTCGCGAAAAATGCCAAATAGAACCTGGCCGACGCATCGCGCGGCAAGCTGCACATCATTCATGGCGACATCCTGGACGCCAATCGCCTGATCCTGCCACGTCTACTGGACCACTTCAATCGTGCGCCCCCCCCCCCCCCCCACCCCGAACCCCTGCCCCAAACAAAACACCCCAACCAAACTAAAAGCCCACTCCCCTGTCACCGCAGCCTCCAAGGTCCGACTGGTGGGCAACCTCCCCTTCAACATTTCAACTCCTCTGCTATTGAATTGGCTTCGCATGCAATCGTACGGCGCGAATATCTTCCGCCCCGGGCGCGATGTCCGCATGACGCTCATGTTCCAGAAGGAGGTGGCCGATGTACGTCACACCTGCCGCCGGCAGCGCCCCCTGCTGGTGCTATCATCACGCATGCTCCTGCTCCGCGGGTCTCACTCACGCTGTCTCTGCCTTTCTTTTCCCCTCCCTCTCCTCGTCCCCCTCGCTCTCCCTCTCCTGCCCAGCGACTCGTGTCCGACATCAATCGCCGCACGCGCACGCGTCTCTCCTTTTTGGCACAGCACCTGTGCAAGGTCACCATGCCATATGTTCTGCCGCCGGAGGTGTTCGTCCCGGCCCCGAAGGTGTGTCTGTGGCCCCGACCTTGCTGAGCCATGTGCACTTGCCACCTGTCTCCCTCTCTCTCTCTCTCTCTCTCTGTTTGCCCCCTCGCCCCCCTCTCCCCACTTTGCGTCCTGACTCCCCTGCGCGCTATCTCCCACCCTTCGCCCACTCGATCCTAGGTCTCCGCGGCCGTGGTCAACCTCGAACCACGCCACAACCCGGAAGTCGGTGCGTATGGCAAATCAGCCAACAGTCACAAGCGAGCGAGGGAAAGAAACAGGCAACTGGCCCGCGCGCGCACACACACACACACACACACACACACATGCGCTACAATCACGCGCCCCTCCCCACCCCGCTGACCAGCAGATTAACCCCGCCCACTCTGCCCCCCTGCGCGTGACAGTGGATTTCGACCTGCTGGAGTCCCTGCTCAATACGGTGTACAACCAGCGCCGGAAGGCCATCCGAAACACTGTCAAGTGCGTTCGCGCGCCTGCCTCGCGTCCCTCCTCTTTGTCCTCTCGCCGGCTGGCCGGCTGTAGCAGCGCAACATGCTGACCCACCGAAATTACCCCCTCCCCCTCCCCGGTGACACAACAGGATCCTGGCCGAGGACCCCCTGCCCTTCCTGGAGGAGAACCACATCCACCCAATGATGCGCCCGGAGCACATCCCCACGGCAAACATGTGTGGGCTGGTGAATTCCCTGGCACAGGCGGGGCTGCTATCGCCGCGGCCGCGGTCCTCGTCTCGCCTGTACCTGGCCGATGGCTTCGATCAGAATGGCCTGCCTTTGGTGATGGTCCGGCCGCCGAGCCCGTCCAAGTTGGCGCACGCGGCCGCGCGTGCCCTCCGTCGGGAGGAACAAATGAAGGCTCTGTCGGACCCGGTGGCGGACCGCATGCTCATTGCCGACACTCTGGGCCTGCCGCTGGAGCCCACCCAGCTGCTGGGTCTGGCGCATGTGGACAGCGACGGCGAGGAGCATCTGAACCCGGGGCTGCTGCTGGGCATGGACCCGATGGATCCGCGCCTGCCGGCGTACCTGCCGACGCCGGAGGAGCTGGCCTCCCGGGATGCGGTGCCGAAGCGGCACCTCCCGGCCCCCAAGGGGTATGCTCACCTGCCTCATGCGTCGAGCTCGTCGCCAGTGGCGGAGCTGACGTCCGGAGATGCGGCGAGCCCCACCCTGCTGGACAAGTGAAGCCCCTCTCACATGGGCGAGGGCGGAGGGCGAGGGGCACCGGTCCATCACACAGTGGACATGCCACCGGGGTCCCAGCTCTCCCCCTGTGTGGCGGGGCGGAAGAAGAACCAGCCGGCGGGGAGACGGAGCAACCATTCCATATAGATACGCGGCAAGACGCCCCTGCCCCTCCTCTCCCCTTACTTCTCCCTTTCCCTCTCTCTCTCTCTCTTTCGATAATGCGCATGCACGCTCCTCGCCGTGGTGGGGCGCCTGCCCGCCTGCCATCTTTTTTTTTTCCCGCCCCCTCCTCCCCAGGGGATGCGTGCCCCCCCCGCGCATGGAGGGGAGTGGCCTTTACAGACCTCCAGAAAACAAGAAACCTGCTCTCCAGGAATATAGAACATCTCCAGAATGTAGGTGGTCACGTGTGTGTAATATGGTTCTGGAGTGCGGGGCAACCCTATGAGGGTTGCAACCCTCGATCTGTGTGCTCGAGCAAACGGCGGGCGGAGAAAAGCATGCGGCAAGACCGGAAAAGGCATATATAAAATAAGGCGTGGTATATGTGCGTGGATGTAAAACCAGCGACAATGCCGGTCGCTACGAAAGTGGCCCTGTACAGAAGAATCTCCCGCAGGTCAATCCCGCAGGAAGCCGGCCTGCCGCCCCTGTTGGCTGAACTCAGATGGGAGCGTTGGCACACGCTCGTGTCTTGGCCTGGCGGGCCCTCTCCGTCTGGGTCTGGGGGGGGCGGGGGGGGGGGGGGAGCCACGTCGGCTCGTTGGACTTTCGCCCGCGCCGGGATCCTTTGCTTGCGCGTTGTGCCGCACTCTTTCTCGTCGTTCCTCTGCCGCGCACGGTGCATGTGGGCAAATTCCCAGCGTCCTGGGAGGGGGAATGTGTCGGTAGGTGTGTATGGGGGAGCCGAGGCGGCCGGGCGCCAAAAGGCCGGACGGAGAGCCAGCCGGGGGCTCCCCGGGGGGACCCCGCCCGAGTGGCGGGCCAGTGCGCTGTGTGCCCGCCTGGTTGTGAGCATGTACTGGTGGGGGTGCGTGTTCCCTCTCCCCCCGCCCCTCGCCCCCGCCAGCGGGACAGGACCGGAGAGGGGGGGGGGAGGGGCGCGGGGCGTGGGGCGGGGGCGGGGGCGGGGGCGGGCGCGGGCGCGGGGCCTTCCCGACCCCTGCCGGTTCCCGGGGAGGGAGGGGGAGGGATGCCGCAAGCGCGGGCGCGTCCTTGCACGTATGGACTCGCGCACGCGCGCAAGGGCGGGAGGGCACAGGCACGACAAGGCGACCGAAGTGCCACCCAGGTGCTCTCCCCCGTCCGCAGGGGTGGTTCTCTCAGTTAGTGCCTTTGTTTTGTCCTCAAATCACATTTGCTCTAATTGTTGTCACAATGACCAAGTCTTTCTCTGGCAAGTCTCTTGGCATCAACGCCGGTCACATCGTCACCGTCCGCGAGCTCCCCACCCGCCCCGTCCAGCGCAAGGGTGTACGTCTCCTCCTTCCGCCTCTCCCGCCCCTTCTGTTGTCTTTCGCCTTGTCGCCATGCACGCGCGCGCGCGCGTGCGCGCCACGCCCCCCTCCATACGCTGCACCCCCCCCTCCCTAGTGCCCTCCCTGCACATGGCCACACGACCGCACGCCGCCCCACACGACCGCGCCTTTGCCCGCTTCCCCGATTGGATGTATGCTCGCGCGCGCGCGCGCGCTCCCCATGGCATCCGCCCTCTCCTGCAGCCACGCCGCCTGGACGCCCGTGGTCGCGGGAGGGAGGGCGGGGAGGGAATGCGCTGCTGTCTCGCGCGCACGCATACGGGACGCTCGCGCCTGCATCGGGGCCGGCGCGAGGCGGCGCGTCTGAACGCGCGAGGGCCGGGCCGAAGGAGAGCGACGCCAGTGTGTGCCCGTCTGTAGACCGCCTGGGCTCTGGCGTGCGGATGCATGCTGCATCCGATGCCTCTCGTTCTCCTTCTGGCTGGTTGGCTGTGTGTGGTGGCGGCCGGTTGGGAGGGGAATCTGCGCTCTAATGGGGTCCCCACGCGCGCGCGCGCGCGCTCGCACATGTTCTTCACCTTCTCCTCCTCAGGCGGTCTCTCTCTCTCTCTCTCGCTAGGCGGTTCGCTAATTTTCTTCCCCCCTCTCCTTCCCCTTGCGCGCAGGTCGTCTCCAAGCGCGTGAAGCACGTCCGTGAGCTCATCCGTGAGGTCGCCGGTCTTGCCCCCTACGAGAAGCGCATTATCGAGCTTCTGCGCGTCGGCAAGGACAAGCGTGCCCGCCGCCTCACCAAGAAGCGCGTGCGTACCCCTGAGCATGGCCCAGTTCCCTCGCTCTCGCTCTCTCTCTCTCTCTCTCCCCCCTCGTTTCCGGCTGAGGGGGGTATCTATCGTCTTTTCTGTCGTCTCCTAACTTCTCTTTCCCTCCGCGCGCCCCTCCAGCTCGGTACCCTCGTCCGCGCCAAGCGCAAGGTCGACGAGATGTCCGCCATCCTTGTCCAGCAGCGCCGTGGTGCCTAAATGCGTGCCTACGACACTCCTCCAGCTTTCTCTCTTGGATTCATACTCAATAAACGCCTGCGCGCGCGCATTTCCTCGAGCAGGAGACCCTCTTGTTCCACGAGAGAGCAGCAACCGCACAAGGCGTGGATGGACTTCCCTTTCTGTTCTTCTCCTCCTCACTCTGTCTCTGCCCATCTTCGTGCCCCTCTCGCGCGCCCCTGTCTTGCCGCTGGCGGTTTTTGGCTCCTCCCTCCTCCTTCGCCTCGGTCTCTCCCCGTCGTCGCCGTGTGCGCGCCGGCCAGGGGAGGGAGAAGGTGCAGACGCGTCGTCGGGCAACGCGCGGCGGTCGGGGAGGGGGGGCGAGTAGCCGAGGTTGTTGGGGGGGCGGGGCGGGAGGAGGGGCTATGGCCCGTTGTGTGTGTGTGTGTGTGTGCTTTGTCCGGAGGAGAGGAGACTTCCCCTCGTTTGCCTGAAAGGAGGCTATTTGCCTTGCCCCCTCCGCGGCTGTCTTCGTAGCGTCTCTCATCGGCGTGTGTAGTCCACAGTGCGGGGCGCGCGCGGGGCGCAGGTGAAATGTCGCGCAGTCTGCTGCGCGCCTCCTCTTCCTCTCCGATGTACTCCTCCGGCCGGGTTTGTCCCCGCGGCACACGGGAGGAGGGCCGTGTTTCGCCAGAGACAGATGTATGGCGTCTGGCTCAGGGCGGGAGTTTGTCCTCCCTTTTCCGGGCGATCACTCTCTCTCTCCCTCTCTCTCTCTCTCCCTCTCTCTCTCCTCGGGTTCGGTGATGCTGGTTGTCCTCCTTTTGCCAAATAGCGAGTGGTCTTGTCCCTGGCAGGGTCTTTTTTTGATGTGTGCGCGTGCAAGGGGATGAGGCCCAGAGGAAGGCGCTTGGTGGGAAAGGCCGGACGGCGAGCGACACACGGGCCCCACGCCGTGATGAGATCTCGGAAATGCCTACTGCTCATCGAGATCGAGGGGCCTGCCGGCTCGTCGTTAACTCACCCATGACCGCCTCCCAGGCTTCTGGATATCATCAATTAACATCATGTCCGGCTGCCCCTCCTACTCGACATGAGCGTTGGTACCAACCCGGGACGCGTCCCCATCTAGGGTTGGGGTTCCAGCCCTATGCCAACGATACAGTCACCAGGCTCGCGCGTCAGCTGTTCGCACCCACTTTTCCCCTCCCCGGGCCGCTCGCTGCCGACGCAGCCATGCCCGGCGCCGTCGTGACGCCCCTCCGCCCGCCTCGCCGTTCCTCGGGGAGTGTCCGGGCGCTATTGTGGGGTGATGGGTCTCTGTGCCGAGGGCCTTCAAGGTTTGGTTGTTCCCGTGTGTCCCCTCGGCGCGCGCTCTTTGGCGGGAGCCGCGCCCCCTTTTCCCCCGCCGGGCGGCTCCCGTCCTGGGGCTCGGTGTAACGGGCGCCTGGATCGAGGGCGTTCTCCCGGCCCGAAGGGGGGAAGGGGGGGGGGGGGGGCGAGGGCGAGGGCGGGGGTTCTCCGTGCCCTTGCTCACGCTCCCGCGATGCACGGGGGGGGGGAGGGCGGTGCCTTGTTTTGGGCAGTGCCGGCGAGGACGCTCAGGGATGTCTCTCCCCACCGGGCAGGCGGGCGGGGAGTGGCCAGGGGCGGGCGTGTGGAGAGGCGCGCAGCCGGGACCTGGCCGGACGCGCTCCTGCCCTGGCTTTCCTCCCGTGTGCGACCCGCTGTCATGCCCGGCAGCCGTGGTGGTGTGCGACTGCCCACGTTGTGGCTGTGGCAAGGGCACCGTGTCCTGGGCATCCTTCGCTCCTGTCTCGGAGGTCTCCCCTGCGCGGGGGGGGGGGGGGGGGGGGGGGGGGGGGGGGCACGGCGCCCGCAGGTCTCCCCGGGTGTATGTGTGCGGGTGGGTGTGTGTCAGGCACGCCGGGAGACGTGTTTCCCCCCATCAGGGCGGCCAGAGGGTGGGGGGGGGGGGGGGGGGGGCGGACAAGGCCTTCAGATGGTTGTCACGACTTTCCCCCCCGCGCTCCAGCGCGCGCCCGAGGGCGCCTACGCCTGCATGTGCCCGCGCGCATGTTGTGCGCGGTGCGTGGCTCTCTCCTCCCGGGGCGCCCGCCCCCTCCGGGTGAGGGGGTCCCGCGCCAAGGACGACGGCGCCCAGGCGAGGGGGGGGGGAGCCCACCACGGCCCGGGGTGCGCCACGATGAAGAGGGCCCGCCCCGTGGTCGCACCCTACCTAGGGTCCCGCCTCTTTCTCGGCTGTGACTCTTTTGTTTGACACATCTCCCGGGACAGTCTGTAACAATGGTCCGTAGCCTCCCCCCTCTCCTTCTCCTGCTCCTCGCGCCTCTCTTGTTTCTTCCTGCCTCCTCTTTGCCCCTCCCCCCCGCTTCGCCTCGCCGTCAGCCCCCGCGCGCGTGTCCTGTGCCATGCTGTCGTCCCCCCTCCCCCGTCCTCGCCCTCTCTGTCTTGGTGTCGGCCGCCTGTCCCTCCTCGCCCTTGCTGTCGCGCTCTTGCCCGGCGGGAGGCCGTCCCTTCGCCGGCGGTGTCTCCTGCTTCCAGACCGGCGGGAGGGGCGAGCGCCGCGCGTGGATCCCCGCATGCCACGTCTCACGCGTGTTCATCGGATGCGGTTTTCAATTTCCGCATCCGATGCCGAGCCCCCCGCATGTGCAATCTATCGGCCCTTCTTTCGCTTCCTGGCGTGCCGGTAGACTGCTGACGCGCGCGCGCGCGACACACCCAGGCTGAGAGTGATCTGGCGGCGAGGAGGAGACGGACAGAGGGCGGATCCCTCCCTCTGTGGCTGCGACGGCGGGGGGATGACCCGGTCATCCGCTGTGTCGACCCCTGCCAGATAGAGGGGCGCGGGGGCGGGGACGGACCTCTTCCATTCCCTCTTTTCCTCCTTCTCACATGTGCGCCCCTGCGCCCATTCCGTCCTTTGCTGCGTGCTGACTCCCTCCTCTGCCTTTCTTTCGCGCTCTTCCTCCCCCTCCCCGCCACACAGGTGAACTTCCCCAAGACTCGCCGCTCTTTCTGCGCCTCCTCCAAGTGCCGCAAGCACACCCAGCACCGTGTCACCCAGTACCGTGCTGGCAAGCGCCGTTTCTTCGCTCAGGGTGCGTAGTGACCTTCCTCCTTCTTCTCGCGCGCGCCCTCTCCTTCTCTCCGTGTGTCGTTCGCTGCGCCCGTCTGTGCCGTCGCTGCTGCGCGTGAGCGAGACGCGCCCCGGGGCAAGTGCTTTTGTCCTTTTTTTGCGCCCTCTCTCGTATCTCTTCCGTGATGACTTCTTCCCCCTCCCTGTGGCTCCCCCAGCCGAGGGGGGGCATCTATCGCCTTTTCCAGCCCCACCTTTCCCCGCTGACCCTGACCCTGTGCTGCTCTCCGCCCCCCCTCCTTCTCGCGCTCCCTCCCGGTCTCCCTCTGTTCTCTTGTGCTTTCTCCCCCCCTCCCTCTCTCCCCCAGGTGAGCGCCGCTACCGCGCCAAGCAGGCCGGTTTCGGTGGTCAGACCAAGCCTATCTTCCACAAGAAGGCTAAGGTCACCCGTAAGATCACCCTCCGCCTTGAGTGCTCCGACTGCAGCCACCGCTTCCAGTTCTCCCTGAAGCGCTGCAAGTCCTTCGAGCTTGGCGGTGCCACCAAGAGCAGCTCCGACTAAATGTCCTCACCATCAGCTGCTGCTGTTGCTGCTGCTGCTGCGGTCGTTGCGCTGCGCCGCCGCTGCCGTCGCCACTGCCATTTCCCGAGCCACCCTGACCGCCGTTCTCCCCCTCGGCTGCCCGTTCCGGCGCCCGAGTGAGACGATGACGACCCTCGGCCGTGGGTGTGCTCGCCCCTTGGTGGCAGTGGCAGCATAGCCATGCATATGCCGGCCGCTGTGTGGCGGCCGGTGTGGCGGCAGCGCGCGGGGCACCGGCGGGCGGATGGGGCGGCTGCCTCCAATAATTGCCGCCACACACACCACCCGCTGCGCGCACACGAGTCTCGCCCCCAATGCCATCATCCAATCATCAGTAGTTTCTCCATCCTCTTGCCCTTTGCCTCTTTTGTGTTTCCTGCAGGCCGTGTGCGCCCCTCTCCTATGCTGCTCGGCAAGGTGGGACCCCGGCCTGTTTTCCGCGGTGGGGGGAGAGAGGAGAGGGGGGCAGGCGAGAGTGTGGGGGTCTGTCCGATTTCGACGCATGTTTGTTTCCTTGGAGCAATCATCGGGCGCGGTCTTTTCCCTTGGCGGGGCGCGGGGGTGTGGGGGGTGGGTGCCTTGCCTTCTTGTCCCTGTATTCTTCTGCGTCTTCCTGGCTGGTCTTCGGGGAAGGGGGCGGAAAGGCCAGAGGCACCCGTCGGGGAGAGAGTCCGACATACTACTTCTTCTCGGATGCCATGTCGCCGTGCTGCCCGCGCGCCTTCGCGCGGTTACAGCCCTCCTACTCCTCGAGACCGGGTATTCTGCTGTCTGGGCGGCCCCGCCGTTTCCCCGGGCTTTGGTCGTGCTACTATGCGCGTTTGAAGCGGCCGACGCCCCCCTCCCATCGCGACGGTGCGTGCCGGTCCTCCTCCAGGAAGTTGAAGTACCCGCGCGTTTTCTCCGCCGCCAGATAGCCCTCGGGCCCGCGCTCCAGTCACAGACCGGGGCGTGCCTTTCCCGACGCACCGGTTCTGTTGTTCCCTTTTGGCACCGATCTGCTGTCCGAGAATAACATATCACATGGATCACACATGCCAAATGGCAAGCCCACAATTCCTTTTTATTTGCCCGCCCTCTACCTTTACATGTGTGTGTATGTGTGTGTATGTGTGTGCGGGGGGCATGGAGGAGGTGCGCATGTGCGTGTGAGGTGGCGATGCATTTGTGAATATGTGTTGGCATGGGCCTGCATGGGGAGCACATCAGCCCCACATTCCGCTCACAGGGTGTCCGGCGGGATGACAATGTCAGCCACAGCGGTGGACTCGCCAGGAAGCAGGTACGAGACATTGACAAGGGAGGAGAAGTTGGTCTCGTCATGGCGAGCCCTGGCCGAGAAGCTGCACACCGGGACGCTGGGCAGGGTCACGCTCTGACCCGGGGGGTCGATCACAGTGGAGGCGGTATACACCCGATCCGGCTGGAGAAGGCCATTCGGCATGCGCTTGAGCTGGATGTCGAGAGGGGGACGCAGGGGGAGGATGGCATGGGATGAGTCTGAGCAATCGAGATGGGGGGGGGGGATGTCTAAACACGGGGCCACGCACGAAAATCACCCTCCCCGAGAGAGTCTGAATGATGAGGCACGAGCGGAGCCGGGAAATGCGGCAAAATTTGGCCGCCACAATGGGTTCACTGAGACAGGGGGCGAGAGGAGCAGGGGCGAGGCGAGCGCGGTTTCCGAGTTCCGTGTGCGGTTGTGGGGGCGTGGCATGATAAATAAGCAGGCGAGCATGCCACAAAGGGGCAGGGGAGGCACGGAGGACGTACTCAACCGGGCAGAGAGTCTCAATAGGCATGAGCGTCTGCGCACACCAGAAGGTGAGGACCGAAGAGGCGCCGCCAGTGACGAGGGTACTTCGGGGGGAGGTGGGAAAAGGGGACAAAGTCAGAAGGGCATGCGGGCGCGCGCGTGTGTGTGTGTGTGTGTGTGTGTGTGTGTGTGTGTGTGTGTGTGTGTGTGTGTGTGTGTGTGTGTGTGTGTGTGTGTGTGTGGAAGGGACAAGGGAGATGCTGGGGACCAACTGCTCTGCCAGAGGGACCGAGCAGTTGCCGGGCGCACTTGGTGCAGAAGTCATAATCCAAGAGGCCGAGGCTCGAGTGGTCGGCGATTGTTCGGAGGGGGGTCCCGTGGAAGGTGGGCTTGGGCATGCCGCTGCCGGCCTCCGCCGACCCGGGGCACTGGACCTGCAGAGCCACCAGGCTAGCCGGGGCCAGGGTCACATACAGGCGGTCGCACTCCGGCGACCAGCAGAGCGCGCGAATGGGCGCGTCGAAGGTGTGCGCCGCGCAGGGAGCCGACCAATCACCGCGCGCATCAAAGAGGAAGACATTGGTCCCAGCCGAGACCGCCAGCATGTCCCCATTGTAGGACCATTGGAGCAGCTCCGGCCGTGGCGTTCCTGCCGGCAAGATTCGACTCAAATCCACCGTGGCCGTGGGCAGGGCGATGTCTCGCGACCGGAAGTCTGTACAGGGCCAAGCAAGCGGGGGAAAGCACATGTTAGCCAGGAGGCCGGGGCAACGGGGACAGGACCAGCCGAGTTGCGCCTCGGGAGAGGCGCGTACCAATGGAGTGCCAAAAGTAGAGAAAGTGCGACGAGGGCACCAGGATGACCAGGTAATTGGCGCGCTTCATCTCCCAGGCGATTTGCGTGGACAGAAGCTGGCTCCGGTCGGGGACGTCCTGCAGCGGGATCAACAAGTCCCGGTAGATGCCAGGTTTCACCTGAAGGGGTGGCGAGAGAGCGAGCGGCGCAGAGAAGGCCGGCGAGGGCCAGGCCAGCATGCACAGGTGTCATCAGTAGCCGGACAGGGGCAAGACCATGGACCAGGGAAAGTGACGTACGTCCCACACTCGGGCAATGGCGGCCTCCTTTGGCAGGAAGACCGGCGCGGAAAAAGCCCCGGCCAGGAATCGGCCCTTGTTGCTCCAGGCAATCTGCGACAAAGCCGGGCCGTCAACATTAAGAGTGGCCCTGGGCCTCTCCTCGCCAGGGGCATCGGCCATGATGGGCACGTCGATGTTGCCCGGCCGCCCGAAGGGCGGAGCGTTGGATCCGCGGCGCTCAAACTGCCCGCGCCCGGTCGCCTGAGTGTGCATGTTGACGTCGGGCGCGCTGATCAGGTAGTGCTGTTGCTGGGCCTGCTGCATGTGCACATGCGAGGGCGGGCCCTTTAGTTGCGGGGGCGGCCCCTGTCTTTGTGATTGCATTGCGTGCGTGTGTGCGTGTGCGCCCTGGAAAGAGGGAGGAGAGGGTGGGGAGTGGTAGCAGCAGACAGGCGAGGAAAGGGTGGGTGGTGGTGGTGGTGGTGGTGGGGGGGGGGGCAGGGAGAGGGAGGCTGACTGGATCTCATGCGGCTGTAGCCAGGTACGCATCGGGGTGGGACAAAAACCAGCCCCAGCGAGGTGCCAATGCTTGGGATAGTTGGAAGCTGGTAGGGTGTATTGTATGGGTGTCTTACCCGGAGCCGGTCCCCCCCTCCGCCCCGCCCCGCCCCCCGGTGTGGGGGAGACGGGGAGGAGAGAGGACCGCATGCTGGTGTGTATGCGCCCTTCTAGTGGGCCTTCTTCAGGCTGCGCAGCCAGGCGGCGCGGCGCTTGCCCGACTCGTTGCGGACCAGCCGATGGAGCTGCGGCCGGTAGCCCACCAGGAAGAGCGTCTCGAGGAACACGAATAGCGGAGCCATGACCAGGGCTGGGGGAGGGGGGGTCGCGTTGCGATGGGCGTGTCAGAGGGAGGGAAGGCAGCGCCCATGCGCCCGAGGTGGGCACGGGTGAAAGGAATGGGCCGACGCACACTGGAAGAGGTTGTCAAGGAGGGCGGGCTTGCGGCCCTCATGCTTGCCATGGCCCCAGAACTGGGCAATCCAAGACACGACATGCACGCCGAAGGCCACCCAGTGGGGATGGGCCACGCTCGGTGAGTGGGCAAACACATAGGCCGAGTACAGGAGCAGGCACATTTGTGGGATGTAGAGAAGCTGTGGTCGGGAAGGGGGGGGGGGGGGGGGGGGGGGGGGATGGGGGGATGTCGGTCAGGCTATGGGGGCGCCGGGAAGACGATGGAATGAGGAAGGAGAGGAGCACGCACGCCAGTCATCGGCTCCAGGGCGATGTAGTAAAGGTTGAAAAGGGTCCCGGCGATGACGGCCGCCGTGGGCTGGGCCCAGGGAGACACCTTAGGGAGGGTGGCAAACGGGCCGACAGCGGTCAGCCACACGAAGGCCGTCCAGAGAATCACCGGCACGAAGATCATATGGATGATTTGGTTCCTACATGGGTGTGGTGGAGGTGGAGGCACACATGGGCGAGAGGCGTGCATATGGTCAGATGTTTTTGTGTGGGTGAATGGGTGAGCGAGCAAGCGAGCGAGTGGGCGGGTGCTGGAGCAGTTGTGAGCAGGGGGAGGCGCGGGGGGGCTGGAACGCACACGCGGTTGCTATGATACTCGCCGTAGCGGGCGACCTGCTCCTTGAAGTTGAAGATCGATGGCTTGGTGGCCGCAGTCGCGGCAGTCTTGCCTTTGGGCGAGGACATGATGCTGCCTTTCGCTTGGGTCCGGACGACAGGACAAACGTGGGGAGGGATCGAAAGGGGGAAAGCGAGGGATGGTTGATCGGTCGGCCGGTCCCCCTGGCATGGTGGGGCCACAAATGGGCTCCCCTCCTGGCGAAGGATCCTGGCTGATCGACCGGCCGGGCGGCGGCACCCGCCACAGGAGGCCGGACAGCGAGCGGTGGGGCTGGCAGGAAGCACTCGCCCGAGTACTGGGCCGGCCGCAGCAGAATGGGCCTCGCCCGTCTCCAAGAGAATACCAGGGCAACAGGCGACAACCGACAACAACATAGCGCCCGGAAAACATCCCCAGCCCCGCCGCCAGCAGCGACAACAACAACAACAGCAACAACAACAACAACCATGCCAGGGCCACCGTCGCCACCACCACCAGAGGCAGCAGCAACCCCGGCTGAGTGCTGTTTATGTTGTCTACCTGGCCCGGCTCTTGCGACTGTTCACAGCCACGCTCACCCGGCAGCAACAGCCCCGGAGAAAGAGGGCCCGGTGTGCCAACTCTCTGGGTTGATCTTGGACCCATCCACCGGACGGGGAGGGGGGGGGGGGCAGCGGGTGGATCGCCCCGCGCCCCGCGGGCATGGGCGCCGACGCGCGCGTGTGTGCGCGTGCGCTCAGCATCCCCCCCCCCCTTGGGTTCGGAGGTCGTCAAGTGGGCTTGCTGTATGATGCATCCGGGGGTTCGGCGCACTGCCTCTCCACTTTCACGCCCCCCCCCCGGTCGTGGGCCCTCCCTGCCGCCGACACCGACCGCCCACGTACCCCGCCTCCGGCGGCCAGCCCCCCGCGGCCCCCGCGCAGACAGCCACTATGCGTCCCCGGCGTCGCAGTGCTTGCTGGTCCCGCGGCCGGCTCCTCGCCCCCCCCCCCCCCCCCCCGCCCCCAGCGGGCGCTGACACACCCACAATATGTCGGGGCGGCCCCCCCCCCGCCGCCCCCTCCCACGAAAAGCCCACGCAAGAAAAGCACCCCTCGCACAGGAGAAGGAGGGGGCCCGCTTGTGGGCGGGTGGAAAAAAAAAAAGAGGACAAGGGATCTATTGGCGTGTCTCCCCTCGCGCCGCGTCGCCTCCGGCAGGGGCTCGACTCAAAGATCCTTGATCTTGGGCGAGCCAGCCACCGGGATGGTCTCGCGCGCTGGCGCCCCGGTAGACGGCTGGCCGGGGGTCGGCCCGTCGCCGATCGTCGCGGCAGCCCCTCCCAGGCCCCCCTCGCGCCATTCCATGTAAACAGCGCCAATCGGCACCATGGAGATGACCGTGGCCCAGAAGAAGACCGGCCCATAGCCAAAGTACCCGGCAATAGCCCCGCATGAAGCGTAGCTGATGGTCTTGCCGAGGATCTCCACCGTGGCGAAGGCCGTGTACCGGGTGGCCCCGCTCGGACCGGAGGCCGAGGCCACCGACATCATGAAGGCGAAGGTCACCGTGGTCAGGGCCCCACCGATGAAGCTCTCCCCGGCGATGACGGCCAGCAGGGGCCACCGGTCGAAGGCCGGCCCGGCTGCCGAGCCAGCCCGATCAACCGCATACGCGTACACGGTCTTGCCGATCATCGGCAGCGATCGCAGGGCCAAAATGACCAGCAGCAGCGGCAGGCGCTGGCGTCCAGGGTGCCGATCCGCCAGCAGTCCCCCGGCGAAGGACCCGGCGACCGAGATCACCGCCCCAAAGAGCCCGGTCAGGGTGGCGATGCGCGCCGGCGTCAGGCCCGAATCCACCAGCAGCGGCTTGAAGAGCATGTCGTGTGCCCCCTCGCCGGTCTTGTAGGTGATGATGAAAAGCAGGGCCCATAGCAGGGACCGATCGGTGATGATGCGCAGGAAGGCCGCCACTCCGGAGCGACCGAGCCAGCTGCCCGCACTTGCCGGCTCGCTCGCCATGCAGGGGGCCTCCGGTGTGGCCGACTCAGCCGGCGTGGCCGGCCGACTTGCCGAGGCCGTGGACCCGGTGAGGCGCGTCTCCGGGAAGAGGAGCACCAAAATGGCCACAAAGAGCATGATCAAAAACATGATGTTGAAGGTCGACCGCGGCGAGGGCGACATGGCCAGCGAGGCGCCCCCGATAAACATGCCGGCCTTGAAGCCGACCACTTGGATGCTGTTGCCGGAGCCGAGCTCCTGCATGATGGGCGTGAGTGTTGGTCTTTTTTTTTTTTTCACCTTGGCTCCCAGGCCAGGGGCATCGAATTGCGCGAGGGAGCCCGGAGGCAGGCCGCGCACCGTTTCACTGAGGATGTCAATGGCCAAGCCATCGACCGCGATGTCCTGGGCCGAGGACAGGGAGTTCAACAGGAAGCAGGAGATGAAGAGACCAGGGAGGTTGCTGGCGGCACCGTCATCCAGCGGCCCGGCGAGGTAGGCCGCCACCAGGGCCAGGGCCGCAAGGCCGAACTACAATGCCAGGGTGTTAGGGAAGGCACGAAGGGAGATGGGAAAAGCGCCACCCGACCCGGCGAACCTGCAGCGGGATCAGCCATGACCGCCGGCGGCCGATGTGCGGCGAGAAGGTGTTGTCGATGTGCGCCGCAAACAGGGGCTTCAGCATCCAGCTGATGGACATGGCCGTCAGGCTGAAGCTGATCAGCGAAAGGGACACGCCGCGCGTGCGCAGCAGGATCGGCAGCCCACGTGCTTGGAAGCCGATCGGCATGCCCTGGCTCAGGTACTGCAAGGTGTCGGGTGTCAGGATAACGGCAAGAGCCCTCGAGCAACGGACGCGCGATGGAGACGTGACACACCAGCAGGCTCAGAAGGCCCAAACGCGCGGCCCGGCCCCAAACCCGCACTGGCAGCAGTGACTGGCTGGTATTCAGCCACCGGACAACCGGCTGCATGACGGGAAGAGACATGGCGGCAGGGTAGGCGGGGG